ATTGGTTGATGGAGCATTTATATTTTGTGTTTGTTCAACAGGTTACAGTGAAATAACGTATACAGGTGATTAAGTCACTTAAAAATGCTAGTGCGCACTTTTCTAAATGAGCTGAAACGAGGGGGGATAAATTATATATTTTAATTTTTTTTTTTTAGGAATAAGACATCAAACAATATAAAACACAGAGCCAGGGAAGTTTTCAACACTATCATTACCTCTGCAGTAATTACTGTTAGCAGTAAAAAAGCAGGAAAAGTCACTTTTATTTGTGTCGCACTATTGAATCCTGCTTTGCTGATGAGTGCATTTTTTTAGGTCTTGTGAGGCTGGTAGCCCTGTTGGATATCTAACCAGGAACTAACAGTGAGCTATCTGATATGCGGGAAGTGTTAATTACTGCTGGTTCATATTATATTTGTGTTAAATACCTGCGTATGAATTTTCATTGTAGGGGTGTTTTATTTTTTTTTTAGTAGTTTTAAATGGAAATTGGTAGTTCCTTCTTCAGAGAGACGGTTTTTGTTAATAAAAATATTTTTTTTCATAACAGTTTCATTTGTTGCTCAATAAATAGGGACCTGATGTGAAAGTTAAAAAGCTTCTAACTTGCTGTCTTGTAGCAAGAACACAGGATGAAAAGAAAAGGAATCATAGTTATTATGCTTAGCTAATAGAAACTGAAGTATAGCTGGTAATTTTAAATACAACTGGGAGTATGTATTGTTGCTCAAATTTGAAATTGGGATGCTTGATAATAAATGTGTGCTTTCTTTTTAATGAAATGTTGGATATGTAATTTTGTGATTAGGCCTCTGAAATGAAAATAAGAGTTTACTCAGAACTAAGTTTACAAAATAAGAGGACGTAAGCCAAGACCGTTATTGTTGGAGTCAAGCCTTTCAGAAACTTAGTATATTTTAGGATATTAATCACAACTCAATTTTTGCTCAGATTATTTGAATTAAACACATTTTTTATAGTATAAAGTGGTTTATGTCTTTCTGCATTAAGAAGTGTTGTCAACATGTGCAGTTGGGTGAGAAGGTCATTGTCGTTCCAGCTGCAACTATTCTAATTCTTTGGCCTGCCTGCTGCCCTGTTATTTTATAAAGCATTATTATTTACAGCTGACAGAATTGAGATGTAGTTCCCCATCAAAAACTTTCCTTTCTTTCATGATCATTACGAAAAGCACATCTGCTTCACTTTCTTCTTTGGTTACAATTGTGTTGCTTTTATACAGCTGTATCTTGGACCTGTAGTGGCTCTGTAATGTGTTCTGCATCTTGAAAAGGAGCCTTTGGTGCAGTTGGGCATCATTACATTCTGTCATATGGAGCATGCTTATTAAACCTGTAGGTGCTTCGAAGAAGCAAAATGAATGATTCCTATGTTTTCCACTTCTACCAGTCTCTGTGCAGTATAACTGGCTTTCCGCCAAGTCACTCGTTGCCATCCGAGCCCTGTTTACTGCCAATAGATGCAGAGCTGTATGTTCAAAGTAATGACTAGCAGGAGTGCAGCCATCAGCAGTTTTTCCTCCTAGCTGCTAGACTGCAGCTTGAAATGGTGCTCCAAAAAGCAGAAGAACGACAAGAGAGCAATAGGAACCTGTAAGTTTGACCCTAGGTCTGACAACTCTAGCTTATTTTTTTGTGGTTTGCAGTGTACCCTTGTGAAAGAAAAGCAGACAGGGAGTCCTGGAAGACCTGGAGACTTTCACTACACTGAAGGGTATTCGACTAAAAGGATTTATGGTTATTTTCTAAAAAGTTCAGAGCCATGCAAAACCAGGGATTCACAAGGGAAGCATCTTAAAGCCAGAATGAAAAAAAAAAAAAAATCAGAATATGCTTGTTTGGGACAGTAGACTATTAAAACCAATCTGCGTATGAGAGAGTACTTGAACTGAAAGTCAGCTTTTCTGCATAAACTGTTGCTGATAAAAGCCCTGTTGGGATTGCAAGCCAGTACTCACTGAGGGGTGCTGCCCAGGAGCTGCAAGCCCTGTGTGATTTAGCTGTGCCAGAAAGAGCCCTCTTTTGTAGGTACTGTTACGCAGACAATTAAGGGCTCTTCATGGTGCAGCTTGTTCTACGTTCTGCTTTCTCTTTAATCCATTAGACCCAGAAGCATCAGCAAAAGCAGTTTTGCCAGCATAGGTTACAGCTACTCTAAATGCAGTTGAGTGATATATTATCAGAGTGCATCAAGTTTCAGGGTGCACTGAGATGACAGTAATTCTGCATTTTTCCCAATAATGTCATATTATAGTATTTGTGTGCTTTTCTGAGGTAGTAAGACAGCACAGGTTTAACTTATGTTTCCAGTAAGCCACTTGAATCATGCAACTCACTATAAATGTGCAGTAGGTCTACTTATTAGTCAGGAAAGGTATAATGCATATGTCTCTCTTAACTATCCTAGTTGCAAGTTCTGATGTAGCTGCTCCTTAATGTCATCAGTTATGTTACTCCCCGCACCACCTACTGTTGTGTAGGGTGGAATTAACCTTGAGATAAGAGAGCAGGAACATTTTAATCAAGGCATTAGTGAAACATTGTGAAGCCTGTCCATTCCTGGGGTGGATTTTGATTAGTGTGATCCCTCATTTCCCCTGAGGGAAATGTCACTTCTTGCAGATAGTCACATATGTGTATTTTTTACAGAGGTTTCTCTTTATGCAGTGCCGTGCATGATGTGTCTTCCACTGTTTTCCATTTACCCTATAAATGTACTTAAGGTGATTCCTTTTTCTATAATATTTCAGTTTTGTGTTCATTTAACATTTTTGTTTCTACTGGCACATGCAGGCTTTGTTCAGCCTTGTAGTACAGTTTCACCAAAGACTTTGAGGACAGATTTTTTATATAACTCAGGGCTTTACCAAGAAAGACCATCAAAATTTACAAATCTTGGGAGAGGTGACCTGGTGGATACTCCCTGTATTTGGAATAAGTCAGTTGACATTTTCACTGTGTGAAGCATATGTCAATTTATGTTTCAGTAAATAAGCTCTTCTTCTATATTGGAGGATACTGCTGAAAAAGCATATAGAAAGATAAAAGATTTTCATTTATGACAACTGTTCTGTGCAGATGAATGGCTGTTTTCTTCTAGGTCATTCATGTAGCAGCTGTTTCTGTGCAAACAAAGATAGGTACAGACAAAAGCCTGAAAAGGTATATTTCACTAACAAAACTTAGTGCAGGAATAGATAGAAAAAAGGGAAGCTGAAGGAAAATTTAACTCTCCAGGCATGGAAAAGAGCCAGGATTTGTTGGGAATTTACCTTGCAGACTCCATGGCTGTGGTCATTACCATCAACTTCGGGAGTTTTTATGGAGGAAGTTAACGTAATTCTGGGTTTGGGTGTACTGGTGTAGGTGGAAGTGTCTGATCACAGTTGGCTGCAAGCATAGTCAGGGTTTGAAACTTAGTTTTTATAGTATGTTGAATTAAAGAATAAAACTGGCCAATGGGACCTGCTTTGATGTTTGTATCTTGACACGTGCTTCTAGAGCTTTCATCTTTGTTAGGTTACAAAGTTAAAAAATTATTTTTGTTAAAAAATAAAAAGTATTTTTGCTGTTTTATGGAAGTCCTGAGACTACATCTGAGCTTTGGAAAAATGTTTTAGGTAGCATTTTCTGGATAGATTTATATATTTTTTCTGTTGTTCACTTAAATGTAGCAAGCTAAAGTACATTGTAGCATAATTTTTTTCTATGTGCAGCAGTGGCTAGTAAAAGTCTGAATAGAAAGTGGGGAGGTTTTGTTCTTAAATAAATGGTTATTAAGTTAGTTTCAGGTAAGCAAGCCTATGCTTCTGATCAGGCTGTTGGCAGACTGGTGCTGGTACCACACAGTGCCCTGTATACAAAGCAAATGTAAGACAGAAAAATAAGCTCTAGAATCTCTTCAGGGGATATTCATGCTATGCTGAGTTCAAGAATACTTTCTAAACTCAAAGAATTTTAGCCAGAAAAATCCTTAATAATGGAGGCAGCGGGGAAAGAGTAGGGAATATAAAATTCATTATTGCTATTAATGTTCCTGAAAGTGTTTCATATTACCTTTGGCTTTAATTCTGTATCATACTCTTCCATGTCATATTGATTTTTGAGTTCTGTAGTCTGCTGCTGGTTTTGCTTTTCTTGCTCAAAAATTTTCATCCTTCCAGAGAAGAATTCTTTAAAGCCTATGGGTTTATTTTCATCCTGTTGAAAGGTGCTAATTTTCTAATTTATATCCTGAGTGGCATGTACAACTCCAGTGATGAGTTCTACAGTCCATGCTGAGGTCCAGACTGAAGCATTTTTGTAGTTTACTGGTGCGTAAATGTGTCAGTATGTGTTCCAGTGACTTCCAAGTGAGTGTGTTCCAAGTGACTTCCAAGTGTTACGTGTTTTGGAGAGTTGTCAAAAGGAGAAAGTGCCATGTGTTAATCATGTGCAGACTGAGTAAATAGCTGTTCTTCTAAAGAGAATATCTTTCTCCTAAAGAGCAATGGAAAAAATGTTTACTAAGGTAGAGATATTAATATTAAATTAATAAGCCAGTACCAATAATCTTCCTGAATACTCAGAAGAGATTCAAATGTAGAAAATTACAGTGAAATTGAAGACCTTATGTTTATCAAATTCCCCATCTTTCTTTTTCACAATATCTAAATCTGAGCACCTATGCAGCCATATTGTCAAGACTGCTCAAATATTTGTCTGCTTTTCACCCACATTGTTTGGCATTATCTTCCATTTTGCTGTCTGCAGTTTACTATAGGCAGTGTCTTTAACGTTTTCGTTGTCATTTCAGTCCAGTGTGATGAAAGCTGCACTGTCATGTGGTTAATACTCTCAAACAGATGTTAGTATTCTCAAACAGACGTGTTAGTTTCCTTGAACTTCCCAGTGTTGTAGTTTGAAATAAAAGGTTATCTTTACTCACATCCCTGTGTTCTACAAAGCTTCTTTAGTCCATCTTTCTTCTTTTTGCAGGAAATGAATGGAGTTCTAAAGAACATGCTTTCAGAGTGGTTCTCAACAGGATTCCTGAACTTGGAAAGGGTTACTTGGCAATCACCTTGTGAAGTACTACAGAAAATTAGTGAGTAAGTGATAAAAGTTGCAAATGCTCAGTGAGGAGGTTATTAAATGCTTGTGACTGCACAGATTCTCTATTTTCAAGATACTGAAAGGCAAAGTATAAATGAGAAATAGTTGCATTTTACATACTACAGAGAACACTGTTTAAAACCAAATTAAGGAAACAGGGAAGGGGATCATTTGTCCCATAATTTGATCCTTCAGCTGACATACTGCCCTTGTACTCTGCTGCTTTTTCTTCCGACTTTCTCAGCTACTTTTCCCACTTCCCCTTGCAATTCAGATTCATACAAGGATTTAGTCATCTCAGTCAAATATTCTGTAGTGAATAGAGAGTGGAAGTGAAATCTCAGATACGTGATAAGCATATCCCAAAGAAAACTAGAGAGAGTGGGTGTGCAGTGTGCCTTTACCATCTGCTTTGTCACAGTTTGCTGATGAATTTAACTTTTTTCACTTATGCCCTGATTCTCCTTTTTTTATTGGAGAGTTTTGTCACTGACATCAGTGGGAAAAGTACTGAGCTTGTAGGGCTGGCAGCTGATCCCTATTTCTAAATGAAAAAAAATACATAATTTTACTTTGTTTTTATTTTCTCATTGAGTTCTGAAGCTGTGCATCCTGTTAGAAACTGGGTTGATATGAAGCGTCGAGTTGGGTCATATAGAAGATGCTACTTTTTTTCTCACTGTGCAATCCCAGGAGAACCACTGATAGTCTTGCATGTTGCACTAACCAGTGATATCTCCAGCAGCATCCAGGTACAGTCACTGATGCATTTAGTAGACAGGAAAGTGCTCTAATTGTAATGTACTTCTTTTAAAGTCCATAATTCCTTATAATTTAGGAATATTTGGGTTTGATTGAGTTTTTTTAAGAGATGAAAGAGGTGACATTTAAAAATTACAGGATTATTTTGTCTATCTCCTGTATGATGTAAGTTGACATTTTGGGGGTTTGCTCAAGGGCAAGAATAATAAGATATATGTAAGAAAAGAGAGCAAATGAGATTAAAACTTCAAAGCAGTAATGATTATTCCTCAAAGTTTTAAACCACATTACAATTATTTCCTGCACTTGCTAATGGATAAGCAGCTCTTTATACTTTTTTATAGGTTTTGTTGTTTCTCACAGAGAGTAATGAATAAACAGTGGGGGAAAGTGTTAACAGGTTTGCAAGTTAAAAAGAAAGGCCCTCTTCTCCGTAATGATGGTAATAACTAGTACTAACTTTTTTTTTTCATTCTCATTTTCCCAGGCCATAGTGAAAGAGGTGCCACCTTTAGAAACAGAAGATGCAGACAAAATTACAACAGCAATTTTCTACTCAATCAGTTTAACTCAGCAGGGACTGCAAGGTGTGGAACTTGGGACTTACCTCATCAAGCGGGTTGTAAAAGAGCTGCAGGTACGTGTGGCAGGGTGTACTTAACGTGCTGTTTGGCCAGCCTGCTCCCCTCACATTGGTGTTTTAGTTTCCATTTTGTATCATTGCTCAAGGCGAGGAACTGCTGGGTCTTCCCAAACACTTGCAGCTTCTTACCAGGTCAGCATTTGCAGATGGGTAAAGAATGGTTGGAAGAACATCTTCTGCTATTGGTAAATGTCTACCACATGTAGATACTGTTGCATAGGTGGTATGTACTGTGTGAATTGCTTGTGTTTGCCCAATCATGTGCATAGGTTGGTGAGAAGTAAAATTTAGTACATTTCTATTGAAGGTAGCTTTCATACAGCTGTATTTTGCAATGTAGTGTGTTGTAAGGTTCACTACTGACTCTCAGTTGAGTGAGTGGAGCCTGCAACCAGGCTTCCTTCCAGGCCCTGATCTTTTCAATGTACCTGGCTGTTCCTTTTTCAAAATCTTAACAACTGCTCCAGTAAGAAAAGTACTTCCTGTACAATAATTAATTAGTTTTATTGTTTTTTATATTGAGTTGCCCCTGGTTATATATACAGTTTTCATGATTACCTTGAATATGTCTATTTAAAAACAAAACAACCAACCTAACGAAACAAAAAACAACACACCCCCAAAAAAAAAGGACAGAGGTTTCTTTGCCTGGGAATTTCATGCAGTTATAGCAGAGAAGATGTCTTTAACGTTTGAAAGTTACAGGAATCAGTTACTTTATTCAAGTCAGTTCTGTGAACTTATGCAGTATCATTGCATGCTGTGGGATTATTGTTAATAGATTAAGGATTTCTTGTAGAAGTGTCTTGAAAGGAACAGAAGAAAAGAATGAAAATTAATTTACTTGTGGAGTGGTGTGAAAGAGACGGTCACATTTCTGTGTTGAGTACTTTGTTTAATGATCTTTACTACTTAAATTATTGACAAAGCTACCACTTAAAAATAATGATCACTTCTTGTGTTTAAGTTCATTCTTCCAACATCTGGCATAGTAATGGTGTTTGGAAAATTGTCTGTGATTTAGAACTTCAGTTCTACTTACAAAAATAACTTAAAATTGGATGCACCAAATTGCTGCAGCTACAAAATGATTGCTTAGGCAACTACTGAATCATAGCTGGCTGCCCTGAAGTATAGTATTTTCTTGCTATTTTATTTTGTTTTGTTTTATATAGATATTTTGGCTAAATTTTGTTGTTTTTTGCTTTCAAAATGCCTTTAAGATTAACTGTCTAAAGTGCAGTCATCCAGGTATAATTAGGCCATGTTATCTGTCTGATCTTGACTGAAGAGAAAATGGAAGAAATTCATGCTGTTCTCTGCTTTCATATCTGAAAAGTAATTCCTGGATAATTGAGTTGCTTTCATAAAATAACTATTGACAACATATTTGTCCATCATTAATTACTTAAGACACTAGAAAAGTTGTAAGTTTGAAAGCAAGATAGAGTTCTAAAATTTGATGTGGCCAACAGAAGTATGTGTTTCTTATTTACACTTAGGGCAAAGTTTCTAGATGTCAGTGTTGTAAAGTCCAGCCCTTTTTCCGTGTTCATCAACTACATGATCATAGGAAACATTTTGGCTGAGATGCCTTTAAATGCATTCTAATCATAAAATTATTGCCTCAAGCTTAAATAATGTATTTGATATTGAAAGCTAAGTGCTTTCCATGCAGTGCCAAAGAGGGAGGTCTTCCTCCCCACTGAAATGTGATACACTGCTTTAAGATGTTATGAAAAATGTGCTGTTACTAGTAAGATTTTATATGGCAAATTGGATGTGTACCTTTTAATATTAACCTCTACATCTTTCCTTTTCTTGGTGATAAACCTTGGTGTACCACTCCAGGGTTGGAAAAATGCAAGAAGGATAATCCAGTAGTGTTTATGATGGATGTAGTTCTCTTAAGTTTTTCTTCCACTCTTTGATGTTGTTAATACTTTTTTCCCTTCTCCCCACTTTCTTCCCACTCATTGATGTTTTCTTCCTCATCATTCCAAAATACCGTTCTTGAATTCATTGTCTTGAATTCTGCAAGAGCCATATCCCAATATGTATTTTACATCCGTGAAGTGACCCTCACCATCACACTGTTATCAGAATGATCTGATACACTTCAGTAATTCATTGTTATTCAGCTTTTGTTGTAAACATTTTCACTCCCATCTAAGCAGACTTCACCTTTCAGTGGAAGAAAGCCCTGTGTATTTCGGCTTCAAAATACTCACTCTGAAATTTCCACAAAGTTAGATTGTTCAGGCCAGAGGCAGGGCATATGATGAGTAATACTATTGGCAGTCTATGTTACCTTTCTACCAAAATTCTGGAAGTCCTACTTCAGTGCATTAATTGCACACATGTATTTTTCTTTCTCTCTGGTCTGCTGTAAGTAAAGGACTTTCCAAGGTTGTCTGTGCTCAGGTTGGTCATAATTCTTCAGAGCAGCATTATAGTCACTTACTTTAAAAGGGACATGGTATAGCAGTAGTGCTGAGTTGACTTGGTGGCAGCAGCTGAAACAATATAGCCTCAGCAAAAAATTCTTGGGTCAGAAATCACATCTCATTAAGCAAGCTTCTAGCAGACTCTGTAAAAATACATAGTTGAAGTCTCAAACAGGAAGAGGATATTTTACCTAACCTTTGCATGGCTTTGCAATAAACAAATCTTTTTTTAAAAGTGCTGCTAAATCACCAAGTAATCCAGGTTACATAAATTGAGACTCTTAATTTAACTGATAATAAAATGCTTTGGGAAGAGGAGACTGTTTTGAAGGCATCAAGAATTTTGCTTTTCATTTTATCTGAATCACTGATGATTAATACACCTTTATAACTTGAAATCTGTCTGAGTTAACTTTTGTGGATATCTGTTTGATCTGCAGAATGTTATTTCATTTGTGTTTTCCCAAGGGATTGCAAACTGTTTAAACTTTTTTTATCCTCTACTAAAAATCCTTTATCTGACTTTGCCTTAACTTAACCTGCTGGGACACTTCAACTTGTAACCTCAAAACTGAATTCTCAGCTGTCATTCTTCATGACAAAAACTCAAAATTGGACCTGTCATGAATGTATTATTAGATCAGAAGAAGACATGCACTGTTATACATATGCTAGTAGCCATTCTTCTTTTCCCACCGTTGAAGCCTTTACTTGGCAAGGTTTTTAAAAACTGTATGGAAACATTGATCTAGTAGGTATCTACACTATGAAGTTATGTCTATAAGTTCTGTTTTACCAGATTCCTTAAAATCTCATTCATGGACAATTAAGATAGAGCTTTATTTTTAGAAATCATAGGATCCCAGACTGGTTTGGGTTGGAAGGGACCTTAAAACTCATTTACTTCCAACCCCCTGCCATAGGCAGGGACACCTTCCACTAGACCAGATTGCTCCAAACCCCATCCAACCTGGCCTTGAACAGGGATGGAGCATATTCTTCTTGCTAATTTGCCTGAGCTGATCACTGCTGAACATGAATTTGTGTAGGGTGGCACTTCTCACCTTCAGAGAACATCAAGTACAGATTCCCTCATGAAAATATTTCTTGCAAATGGGTTTTTATTAGGTCTGTTAGGAAAACTGCAGTGGTAGAGACTCTGGCAAAGATTACAACCCTCAGTGTTGAGCACTGTTAGTTTGAGGCACTGCATAAACCTTAATGGCCCCTGCTTTTGAGTCTTTCACTAATCTGAGCAGATGGAGGACGTATGAACTTGAGTCACATAAATGGGTCCTCAGTTTCATCTCTTTATATGTGCACTGTTAGCAGTTTGAATCCTTAATCTCCTAGACATTTTTGGCAAGTACAGTAATATAATTGGGTGAAGGGGAGGGGTATAATGGATATCAGAATAGGACCTTGTGTCGCATGCAAAGGGCATCCTGAAGAAAGTGAGCTGCTGTAACTAGGAGATTTTTCTTTCTTTGGTAGTTGCTTAACAAAAGCTTGCTACACAAATAATACAGAAGGTTTTTATAAACAAGCTTCCATTATTTTCTGAGCTTATCCTGTTTACATTAGTTTGGGTAAGCAGTAGCTTGAATTCATGAGTCCATTGTGTAGTCTTGTGTTTATATTAATGTATATAAAGCAGGGAGCTGACAACTGAAATAATCTCTTGTAGTCCTTAATTTAAGCTTGTTTTGTTCTCGGAAAGGAATTGGATTTTGAAACTATTTCAGACAACTAGCAAGAAAACAAACAAACCCCAAATTGGACACTGGGAAACAAGCAGGCAGGTGCTTTTTTAGCGAGCTGATAGGTGCTGGTGAATGCGTAGACAGATTTCTCACTAGACAGACATTTAATTCAGGATGTGTTTATAGCCACTCTAAATGGTCTCTAGCTCTGCAGAAGGTACATCATAGCAATTCAGTCTGCAGATGACAGACACAGATAACTGTGGTGAAGCCTTTGAGAAAACTGCTTAGAATTTTATAGCCTGTGGCATTTGGGAGAGAAAACTGATAGCTACTGTGTGACTCAATAGAAATGCTTAACAATTGGTGGCAGATTCTAGCTTTCTGGTTGGGCTGTTGATAATTGCTACCTTAATTTAATCTAGGTGACCTGGGGAGATCATAATTTCCAAAACACACTTTGCTTTCATTGATGAAAAATGTGACCTTGGACTACAGCTTTCAGAGTGCAAGACAGCTTCAGATAAGATATGGATAATAGGAGAAATCTGCACTCTCCTGTAATGAAAAAAACCCAAATAAATAAAAGACAACCAAACCCAGAAATCCAGCTCAAAACAAAATGAGCAGCTGTTTCTTAATGGTGTGTGGGTTTCTGACAGGAAAATAAACATTAATGGATCTCCACCAATAGTCTTAGAAACTAGCACATCAATTTACCAGCAACATAAATGTGCACACTCCCCTGAATCTATTTATTTTTCTACAAGAAATGCCTGCTCAGATAAGCTCCTACACTAGAGCATTTATCAGATAAGTAGTAATCTGTACTGTAGCTTCAAAATGGGATCACTTTCCCATGTCTTATCTATCCTGAGAAGTAAAAATTATTCACAATTTTACATTGTGTATATTGATAGAGTAGGAGCAACTAACTTCCTGTTAAATATTTTGCGTTGGTCTTGGTGAACATGTCACTCCTGAAAGTGAATGATTCACAGAGCAGTCAACATCCCAAGGAAGCAAAATGTCAGTTGCTTAAGTAGGAACTTAGCAGTGGTTGTTATTAATCCACAAATATGGGAAAAAAACCCTTCATTCTTGCTTTTATCCTTGGGCGTGGTGCATAGGTACCCTCTGGGTTTTGCAGTGGGGAGATGAGGTTGGTTACTCTCTAGAAGCTTAGTTCCTGTGTGAAATGCTCAGTAGCAAAACAGTATTTTCAAACCCTATGTTTTCTTAGCAGTGATGTTGCAAACTTCCAGACTTGACTTTGTGGTAACCAGCCTTTTCTTTTGGCCCAGTCAGTTTTTCCTTTTACCTGAAAGAAGAGTTTTTGCTTCTCAAATTTCAGCATTGCTTCCTTTCCTCTCAGGTTTTAACCACAAACATCTGTGAAGAATTCTTGAAAGACACCTAAGCAATATGTTCTTAAAGGCACTATTTTTTCTAGAACAAGTAATACAGTTGGGAAAAAAGGAAAACTTGAAGGAAATATGATCCCATCTTTGGGTCGAAAAGAAACACATCCTGAATTCCTTCAGTCCCTACCCAGAGGAAAAATAGTCTCTAACAACCTTTTTCTCTCCTTTTTTTCTTCTTTTTCACCCCAGCTGCACAATAGTAATGTCTGTACTCCCTCTGGAGCCTGTCTAGGATTTCTTATTGATAGATGGTTAATATAAAAGCTTTTCCCAATGTATTCCTATCTCTTGTGTTCTCTGTGTTACGGGCTAAAGAGGGACTTTAAAGCACAACAGGAATGAAGACACAAAGAATGAAACCCAGTTTGAAATCCAGTCTCTTTTGGGGAGAGCTTGTTGCTTCTTAAGAAAGATGATGTGAAAAGGGTACTTCTCATTATAGATTACGTGTCTGTGTTTGTGTACTTCAAGGTTCATTTGTAGGTCTGTCACATCCTAGACAGTTGCTGAGTTTGTCATCCATCATTATTGTGTAGACAAGCAGGAGGGTGCTTCGTCACTGAGTCTTCAGAAGGGCATTGTGGCCCTCCCTTCTGGTCAGAAATTTATCTAACTGCAGTGAGAGCAGACATGCCAAAGGTCAGATTACTTAACAGCAGACTGTCTTAGCAGCGAAGCTACAGCCATGTGCAGCCAGTGTCCCCACTGGTCAGCTTTTAGTGCACTGATGGAGAGACAATGGTAGCAAGTGATGCTGCTTGTTACCATCTTGTTAACTATCAGCTTTTTCTCTAGGAACATTCAGCTTTTTCTCCAGGAGCAAGTATCTTGACGTATTTTTCCAGTCTCCTTTAAAAGTTCCCTTTTGTGACATCTTTCTCCCTCTGCTTTCTCCAGATCTCTTGTTTTGGGCTCAAAGTGTTGTTCTGTAATAGGAGCTAGCATTGAATCAAGGAAAGTGTAGCTGACAAGGGGGCATCTGTGCATGACTCTCCTCTGCCATACTAATTAAGATCCTGCTGCTTTAAAGGAAAGTATATTCCAGATGTGATGATTAGATAGACTTCTTGATTGAGAAACACTACAGGAAGGGGATGAAAGGTGACGAAAGGAAGATATAGTGGGTACATTTGATTCTGTATTCACATTATGTGAAGTTATTTTGAATTAATTTGTGGATAAATGAACTTTATATCCATGGGGAAGTACTGAGTGTGGGGTTGGGAAAGGAAAGATTTTTTAAGTCTATAGAGTTGGTTTGTTCTGTTCTCATTTTTGTTCTCATTTGTGCCCTTTTCCTGCCCTCAAATATATATTTTTAATTACTGTAGCCATTGCTCTCTTTTCAAAATCAGAGGGGAAACGTCTCTAAAAAAGTCTGAACTGTCTAATCCAAGAAACATTCTTCTAATTAAAACATTTTTTCTATATCCATGGCTTTTGTAGCCATGGTCTGCAGTAAGGGCACAACCCTGATAAACTTTTGTTTTATAGATGCTGTATTCTCTAAAATTGAACAGAGAGGTGCTAAGATACCAGCAGAACCTGCCTTCCACAGACATTGCTTTCTGTAGATTTACAAATGATACTTTTATGAAGTGCATATGCACTCTTGCTACAGACTTATGCTTCAGAGTTACTCTTAAAACTAAAAATAAAATATCATCGTGTCCTTTAGTGAAAGAGTCACAGGAGAAGAGCTTTGGTAGTATTGTACTCTAACCATGGCAGCAATAGCAGTTGAGAATACGACACAGGCAGGATGTCCTAGGTGCTCTGGTTACAGAAATGGTTGTTTTGTTCAATAACGCACAGAAATTATTGGTTTTATAAAATTGTTTTTTCCTTTGTCCAGTTCTCTAAGGAGATGATGGAGGCTGTGTTTCTTTGTAACTTGTTCCATCTTTCTTGTTCCTGTGTGGTCTCGAAGAAGAAGGGCTCTTTGACCTGCATATCTGTGTGATAGTTAAAGAGCTTCAGCTAAGGGAAGGAAGTGAGGTTAGCCACTTTATACAATTATAAGTCACAAAACTGCAGAGGTGGTAGATTTGAGCTGGCTGGTATTTTGTAATGCTGGAAGCCAGCAGGACAGCATTAAGCTATTTGGGAAGCTCTGTGTGGTAAGGAAAAAGGTGTTGTAAATAACTGGCTGAATGTTATTTCAGTTATTAAAGGTATTTACAAATGGTGCATGGCTCCAGCCTGTGCTCCTGGCTTCTGCATCCTCATGGCACAGCACGCAGATGGCGGTGTGGTGTGGGGCACAGCGGTACCTAAGGATGCAGCCTCACAGGTGCAATTCCAACAACCCTGCAGCGTGTGTTCCATTAACATTTGCTAGTGTGAGGTAGCATTTGAGCGATGATGACTTTTTAATGGTTATTTCTGTAACACTCAAAGTAGAAAAAATGCATTTTTAGTCGTTTAAAGACAATTTTCTGTTGACATTTAGATACTTCTGTAATGTTGATAAATGTCTTGATTCTTACTGTTCATATAGGTAGATGTGGTAATTAAATCAACACTGATTGTTTCAGCTCAGCTCCATCTTCCCTCTGTTTCTTGCCCCTGTGTTCCTTCAACAAGGTTGACTGATGTACTTTTTGTTAATTCCAAGTGACAGTGAGTTTAGCAACCTTCCCTATTCTTCCCATTGGTGTGTTCCAGAATTAACACATTATGTGTTTTGCTTTATGTGATCACATAGTTAACAGTTTTTACTCACAAATTACTAGGAGTAGTGAAGTTTTATTTTGTTAAACAAGTATTAAACTGGGAATGTTTTGTTTTTTTTTTTTTTTTACTGCAAGTATGTATTTCTAACCTTGCTATTTTATCAGTGTATCACAGTATGTTAGAGATTGGAAGGGACCTCGAAAGATCATCTAGTCCAATCCCCCTGCCGGAGCAGGAACACCTAGATAATGTTACACAGGAATGCGTCCAGGCGGGTTTTGAATGTCTCCAGGGCAGGAGACTCCACAACCTCCCTGGGCAGCCTGTTCCAGTGTTCCGTCACCCTCACTGAGAAGAAGTTTCTTCTCAAGTTTAAGTGGAACCTCTTGTGTTCCAGTTTGTACCCATTACCCCTTGTCCTATCATTGTTTGCCACTGAGTAGAGCCTGGCTCCATCCTCGTGACACTCCCCCTTTATATATTTATACACACTTATAAGGTCACCCCTCAGTCTCCTCTTCTCCAAACTATAGAGACCCAGCTCCCTCAGTCTTTCCTCATAAGGGAGATGCTCCACTCCCTTAATCATCTTTGTTGCCCTGCGCTGGACTCTCTCCAGGAGCTCCCTGACCTTCTTGAACTGAGGGGCCCAGAACTGGACACAATATTCCAGATGGGGTCTCACCAGGGCAGAGTAGAGGGGAAGGAGGACCTCTCTCGACCTACTAACCACCGCCCTTCTAATACACCCCAGGATGCCATTGGCCTTCTTAGCCACAAGGGCACAGTGTTGGCTCATGGTCATCCTGTCGTCCACTAGGACCCCCAGGTCTCTCTCCCCTACACTGCTCTCTAACAGGTTGTTTCCCAACCTATACTGGAACCTGGGGTTGTTCCTGCCCAGATGCAGGACTCTACACTTTCCCTTGTTATATTTGTAGTTATATGTGTAGTTTGGGTATAGCATAAAAAGTAGCTGGCCTGTGTATAAAAAGCCCCTCTTTCAAATCCTCAGGACATACTTCTGTCCATGAAAATCTAGAAATCATTTCTTTCCTGATTTTACAAATAGACTGAAATAATAAACTGCTTTTAATTTAAAAAAGGTAGTTACATATAAAAATGATATTTCATAAGGGTTTTACATATATTTGAAAGGTTTTGAAAACTTGTATGTTTATTATTAAAATTTTTGATGCCTCCAAATAACTTAATAGCATGTGATTGCATTTGTTGATTTCTGCCTGTGAAATCCTGCATCAGAACATAGCCTTGGTAAGTACTGCAGAAGTACTTTTGAACAGATGATGTGTATAGAATATAGTTCAGTCAGGGTTAAAGGTTAAAATCTCCTTTGTTCTCCAAGTGCTTTCTAAGCACTAACCTGTTACGGGCAGGTGATCTTTTATTATGTGTTTGTCTGCGTGTATCATTTAATTCTCAGAATCCCCAGTCATCACTTGTCATCAGGTAAAAGGGTATCAGCTGTTCTTTCACTCAAAACTTCTCATTGTCAATCATAACAAAACTGGTGGTTTATTTTTTCCTTTTCTCTCTCCTGTTGTCTGCAGAAAGAACTTCCTCAGATAAAAGCTTTCTCTACTCTTTCACCTATACCAGGATTCACAAAATGGCTTGTTGGTCTCCTCTCCTCACAAGCAAAAGAACTGGGAAGAAATGAACTGTTTACGGAATCAGAATGGCAAGAAATCTCTGAGATCACAGGAGACACTACTACTGAAACACTGAAGAAGATCTTAAATAACAATGAGTGGGTGAGATCAGAGAAATTAGTTCAAGTGCTCCATTCACCATTTATGAGGCTCTGCGCCTGGTACTTGTATGGAGAGAAGCATCGTGGCTATGCCCTTAATCCAGTAGCAAATTTTCATCTTCAGAATGGTTCTGTGATGTGGCGGATAAACTGGATGGCAGACACAAGCCCTCGGGGCATTGCTGCTTCGTGTGGCATGATGGTAAACTACAGGTACTTCTTAGAGGATACAGCCAGCAACAGTGCAGCATACCTGGGCAGTAAACAGATTAAAGCCTCAGAGCAGGTTCTTTCCTTGGTGTCTCAATTCCAGCAAAACAGCAAGCTTTAATTAAATATTATGAAAAGCAAGAACAAGTGTTCCTCACCTATAAAGACCTGTAATAATTTACTCAGCTCAGTGCAATGAAAGGTTACCTAGGTTCCCAGTCTTGCTTACTTTGTCATATATTCAAAGCCTGATTGACTGTGATTGAGCCACTGCAAGTTCTAGATATCTATTATGTGCAAATATGTATGTATGAGGTATGTATTAAAAAGCATGTATGAGGTATGTATTAAAAAGCGAGTAAAATTCTCTCAGTTACAGCTCAGTGGTAACTTGGATAGAAAATACTTGAGCTGTACCATTAGTCTTGATAACCTGTATAAACTGTATCTTTAAAAGGAGCTGCACGTTTTTGGCATAATAGTGGTATAGATCATTAGTACCAAAGTACCTGGAAAGAAGTACAAAATAAAGGTAATTTTTTTCTCTAATATATTAGCAAAACACTAATCTACAGTTTTATTTCAATAATACCTGTCTTTTTCACCCTCAAAAACTCATGTAAAACCTCTTGGTATTTTTCAAACCCACTAAAAATCTCATTGGATCCTTGATTTGCTGGAAAATCTTGGTCTCTCAGTGCAGCAGGTATGTAGTGCTATATTTGCACTTTTGTCTGCTAAAGTATAATGGAAGGAAGAAGGAAATGTTCAAATAGAAATAAGAGAGACTGATACTTCGGGATCAGTTGAGAAATGTCCAAATATGTATGCTATACTTTGGCTCTGGGGATATTTTAAGTTGATAAGCTTTTTTATAAAGAGGTAGCTGTGACCTGCAAACCAATAAAACAATATTTCTCACTAAATCCTGTCTTGTGTATTTTGGTGTGTACCTTCCTTCACTTAAGAGCCCTCCTTCAGAAATGATATCGCCACAACAGAAGGACCATCTTAACAGAATTTCATGCTGGTTTTCAATTTCTGATTTATTTGCAATTAAAATGTAGCTATCTACAGTTCAGAATATCAGACCCATACCAGAATATCAGACTGAACAAACTGCTCACACGTTGCTTTTTCTTTTCTATGTAGCATGTGCATTTTGCTAGTCTGTTTTTTGTACAGAGCCTTAGGGTGAACATAGGCACTTAACTGTGTTGGTACTAAAATTTTCACCATGCAGATTGATTGCTACAAGACACACTGCTTCTGTTTTAACATGTCAGAAGATGATTTCATTCTCCTGTTGAGTTTTCTAAGCTTTATGGACTTCTTTAGAATTCAGGTTTCAAGGTGAAATTTAGCTGCTTGTATAAATATGTACAAGCCATTCTTGGCTGGGAGGAATAGATAAAGAGAACCCTCTTTTCCTTGTTATATTAAGCTCTTCAAGTTTGAGGAAACCAGGTCACTTACTTTAAATGAAAGAGTTCTGAAAATGCAGTGATTTTGAAAGATTTTTTTCATCTTGAAACAGAAACGTTGAGGGCAATTAAATGTGCATCCACCTGGCCATAGTTCAAAAAGAGCTAACACTCCTGCTTTGCTGCAGATGGAAATACAGCATCATCCTATATTCTTAACAGCTGGACTCAAAGGATAATGAGATTTTTCCACTTGGAGCCCCAGACAAATATATGAGAATTGGTTCAGTGACATGAGTGAGGGTAGCTTATGAGGAAGAAAAAGCAAGGCTGATAACACTTCATTAACACTTCAATTATTTCTCTAGACCACTGGCTTCTTGTATCTAATATGCACACTACAGGTACATGGATCTGCTTAAGGGAAGCAGTCATCCTACCAATCTTAAAATCTAGTAGGTATTGGCACCATATAAGTACTGCCATTCAGGCTTGTCAAATCAGGAGTTTCTCACAAATTCAGACCCGTATCCTGTGGTTCCAGGACTAATTGCTCAGCATTAAGCCAGTGTAGTTCATTTGCACATCATGAACAGGTCCACCTCTTCTACCTCACCTTAGGCATATGCCACGTTCTCCTGCTTTAACAGCCAGTTTAATTTACTGGTATCCACAGGAGCTGTTCTGAGGTGTTTGAGGTGTGGGGCTGAGAAGCAGATTACAGACAAGGATGTGGCAGCATCTTACTGGAGCTATTATGGATGGGTACGTTTGTTATATGACATCTGTTCTCCATCACAAGCCTAGTGCCTGCAGAGTTATTTCCTTTCAAACAGTTGTTACAGTTTTAGTTATTGGTTGTGTTTTGCTTTCTGAGGTCACTTCATCTGTTATATTGATAAGTTAGCAATGTGAGGCCACAGTGAGTTCTGTACCAGAATCACAGTACAAATTCAGGTGCAAAAGGGCCATTTGAAGATGAAGGTGGGACAGTCTGCTTGTAAAAGCCATCCGCTGTTAAGTGCTATTAGTATTCTTTCATTGGTCTTTGACTCTTAACTGTCTAGCAGTGCTTGGATTTTCCAGCTTGCTACTGAAGAGTGATTTGAGCATGAACAATGCTGAAGAGAGCAGAATAAATATTCACCATCTGTACTACTTACTAGGACAATAACTGTCTCAGTAGAGAGGGATCTTACTTAATCAAAATGGGTCTTCTCAACGGAGAAGGGAGCAGTCCAGTTTCTTTTCCTCTCATATGTAAATACTTCCACTGTTCTGAAGGGCATGCATGTAATGTTACAGAAGAGATAACTGCCTGTCTTTAAAGAAGCTGAAATACTGAAAGTTCCTGAAGTTACTGCTTCCTGTTACTGTATTAGTCTGTTTAAACAATGTATTTTGAGATTAATTTAGGGTGTGTAACACTGCGCTGTGTTTCACTGTGCCAGGGCTGAAATAATGAGTCAATTTTCCCTTTTGTGGATTGTTCTTTGGATAACAAGCCGTAGATATATTCCTGTTTTTCTGACTGGCTTCCCAGGTGATTTCATTTCAGCAAATACTGGTTTATTGGCAGTGATTGACACGTCTTGCAGCCATGTGTGGGTCATGTTGTGCAGATGGCCTTACTGTTGCGTTGTTGAAGCTGCCATGGTATGTTACACCAGGAGCTGGCACAGCTTCTGTGCATCAAAGCCATGTGCAGCCCTTTTCCCTTGCTGTCCTGAAAATTAGAGGCTTCTTAAACGTACCTCCTGGAAGTCAACTGTTCTGTAACTGCTGCATTAGCAAAAGTATCCCTGTAGTTATCGAGGCTTAAGCTGTTAGAAGCAATGGTATTAACAGCTGTACAGTAATACCCAAAAGTATGTTTTATGAGTGGGAAACTGGTGCTAATAAAGGGACAATATCTTAAAATCTCTTACTTCTTCTATTGGTAGGTTCTAGAATGAGGCATAGTAGAGACTCAGAATTGTTTGTTAAAGTTACAGTTTTCTTATAGGGCTTACATCACATTCACGGTTCTATTCTAGTTGTATTCTAGTATTTGAAGAGGGTGACACGCAGGTTTCTGAGTACAGGCAGTGGTTTTGAATGCAGGTTTTTAACCAGTACTGAACTGACCGTGACCCTCTAGGTCATGATGTAACACTGAGGCTATAAACAGCAGCACAGCATGTGAAATACCTGGACCATTAGATAGGACTGTAGCCTGTAAGACTTGACACTTAAGTCAGAGTTTATTTCAGCCCATAAAGTGTTGGAAGGATGCATACAGTATTCAGGTCAGGGGCTGCTTTGGTTTCTCTTGTCATTTATTTTCTCTGCTGCCCTACTCAGTGCAGTTGGTAGCAAGCAAGGTATTCATGATTTACAGTGGCATTCGTTCCTCAGGGGAACACACCTGACAGCAGCTCCTGCTACACTCTCCTTCACAATGGAGAGCTGTGATCTCCTGGTTAAAAGCCCAGGTTTCATCAGTAGGTTTTGCCATCGACCCTGGCCTTCCAACCTGCATCCCTGGCTTTTTCAGCACACCTTCTATACTGTGTGCCCACAAAGGATAACATGCTGGCTGGTTGCAGTAGCACACTTCCTCGGTAAGCAGTGGTAGCTGCTGTGCTGTTGTTAGGTACAGCATGTAAAAACATCACAGTTTCACAGCTGCATCCTGCTTTTGAATGTGAATCAATAGAAATGATGTTACTTTGTCACTTACGCTTGTTTTATGATCAACTTACACCATTTTTCTTGTCACAGGAGTAGGGCCTCTCTTTGTACAAGTTGTATGGAGCTGAGCAGGACCTGTGTTCTAATGTGCCCTGCGTGGGTGATGAGAGGCCAAAATGTTGCTTGAATGGACTACATTCAGTTTATTTGTACATGCTGAGCCATCACAAAGCCCTACTGAAATAAAGGAGTAAGTGCTTCTAGAATCAGACAAGCTTTCCATGTTTATCACCGTTTATTTTAGTTATTGACTGTCACAACCTACAGCCGTGCCTCCTGTGGTGTCCTGGAAATAAGTACAAAAGTTTATTAAATCAGGTAGAATAAGGTAATGGTAGTCTGATTCTTCAGCTTCTTGATAAGGAAACTCCCTAGGAAGGGAGAGGTTAGGGCTATGGTCAGCATGTCTGGAGCAGTTGACACAGGGTTAACATTGTTTTCTTTTGAAAATAAGGAATAAACAATCACATTTATTGTCTTTTTTTTTTTTTTTTTTTTACAAGTTTTGAAAGCAATTACCTTTTTCAACAAATCTGATAGAACAGCAGATATCTTGAAGGTAATAATTTCCAAACCCAACAAAGATCAGGTGGAAGATAAAAACTATGTTAGTATCACTCAGAGCTGAAAGCCCCAAATATTTCTCAAGCAAGTGTGCTCACCACTAGGAAGTTGTATAGATGTTTGCCACCATTTAATGCACATCTTCAAAAGAGGACTGATAAATGGACCTCAAGGGAAGTCCTGTGTCATAACCTGTTCAGATGTGTTCCTGCACTTTCTCAAGTTACTGTGTGTTGACTGATACTTTTCCATGTGCAGCTGCCCTAAATCTTCCATTAAGGTATTGACTACATGGTGCCCAGGGTAGGAAAGCAAGCTGAATTGCCTTAATGTGGCACTTGCAAGCTAGATGCTTACAATTATGGAACTAGCCATAGCTAGATTCAAGGCATTTTGCAGTCAGACTTAAATTTTGATTTTTTTACTGAGGATACCCGAAATGGTCAGAAAAAAAGAATTTGCTGCCACATTATATCTAATAAATGAACAAGTACTCATTCGTCTTAAAATAAATCTGCACCAGGACTGGTAACTACTTGGAGAATGCTCAGATAGAGCAATATGAAATCTGACGTGCTGGATAAGTTATTAAA